GGCTTCATGATCGCCAATTACTTCATTGTGTATCTGCTCGTTTATGTCTTTTCTGTGAAGAAACTGTTCAAGAGGTCGAAAAACTGACTTGCCACAATCGTTATATTCCCGGTGGAGATCTCTTGGTTGCATGCATTAAAAATCCCATTCGCTGTCTCCGTGGACTGCTGGAAAGCTACTTCTCTTTACCTTAACCTGAACTGTGTTTTAAGTTTTGCCTTCGAAGCGTGGGAAGCACAATCTAGGGGTGGGCGAAGGGACTTGAGAAATCGATATCGAAGGTGTTTACGAACGAAGGGGAGGTCGCGGACATTGCTAGGCGGGAGAGGCCGGGAGATTGCATGTCTGTTTGTGGATGTGGGAGTGGTGGTTGTGACTGCAACTGTGGTCGTGGAGGGGTTTGTATTTGAGTATCTCGGGTGGATAGATTGTTTGGGGACGGATGTGGATATATTGAATGTGGGAGGAATTGGGGAAATTGTGCAGGAGGAGTGGTAAGGGACGGTGATTGGTTTGATGACGAGGGTGTATGTGCGATATCCACTGACTGATGGTGCTGCCGTTGCTGCTGCTGTAAAATCAGCGGAAGTGGTTGGTTCCACACCTCGGGCTGGTCAGTTTGCGATGAAGTTGAATCTGATATCTGGGAATTATCTGAAAGAGCCGTTGATATACAACGTAAATTATCAGACCGGACTTTCTCTCCGTCTCGGTCAGCCGCCACAAAGGCATCTAGGAGATCGACACAGGTTAACAACGATGTTCTTGCATCATCTTGGAATTTCATGGATAGCTCAATCTTTTGATTCCCATTTCGAAATTCATGCATCCCGAATAGGGATAGCAACCCACACGTCCACAGAGTATAGACATGAGAACCGGAATTGACATCGAACACCAGTAAAAATCGCTGGGAATGAGAGTTTAAAAATACAAGGTCTTTAGCGATATCCATACATTTCACAAGCGAGATGCAATAGTGTGGTTGCGATGGAAAGAACGAGAGCGCAACCCGATGAGCGGAAAGACGAGTGTACAGGTATGATATATGTAAGAAGGCGATTGAAGGCTCAATAAGTGTAGGAGTATCACCAAAAGCTGGCGGAGGCTGGGAAAATGGAGTTGAGTCCAATTGAAGGTGATCTGGAAGGGTATGGATCTATTGGTCGAGTAATCTGTCTATTGTCTTGATTTTGGTGACAGTTTGCTTTCTATTAGTGGTCGTGTAAAGAATTTCAAGGGTATTGGAAAGAATTCGAACAACTTCGATCAGCGAGACGAACGTCAGCATCCCAGTAGGCTCGCCCGGAAATGAAAGTAAACAGCTGCTTGAGTTAACGAAATCGTCGTCGACATCTGAGGGATGCTCGACATCGATATCTTGATCACGAAAGGATTTCGGTAGCCCATGAATAGCAGATATAAAACTATAGGTATTTTTTTAAAATTTATATTAAACGTGGTCAAATCATCACAAGAAGTATAATGAAGAAGGGACTAACTCACTTATCAAGTATATAACAAACCCAAAAAACCCTCTTCCTTAATTCAGTCTCTAACGGACCGAATTTAAATCGCCTTGTGTGCTGATGCAGTCCCAGTTCAAGCGCGAGGCGATTCATACTCCCAGTCACTTGAAACGCCAGACTGCGCTTTCCAGTGTATAAAAACCACAAGGTCTGCAGTTCTTGATACTGCAAGGTAGTGAGACTATTCAACGCTAAAATATCATTGTGATATTTAGATGACTTGCTGTAATATTCAATATCCTCCTGGCTGCTCTTCACAGTGGGATTTCCTCCGGTCGCATCTCCAGTGAGGAAAAGGTGGCGGCAGCCAAGCGCTAGTATAAGATAAAATATCCCTAGAACAGGACGTCCATGTTCAGAAGAAGGGCTATCATAGAGTTGGTGGAGTGAATTCGCGAACGACGGGCGATGCAAAATGGGAAAGATATGCCTCCAAGCATTGAACCAGACATCAATGTACCGCTCAGCAGTTTCACGAGGAGGTAGCGGGGTCAAAGTCGCCGCAGGGTCAACAACATGGTGAATGGGATACTCGGTCGTCTGATCATCCACATCGACTCTAAGCAGCGAATCCCCAATTTTCTTCGCGGAATGGTTGGGGATATTGGCGAAACGTTGCTCAGCGGTCCCTATAAAGAATATTCCAGATGAGGATCCCATGAAACGCCCTATTCCCCTTCGATCAAGATTCATGCGTCCGACTTCTCGAGAAAGAGGTTCGTCCGTTGGTGTCTTGGGCAAAGCTTTGGCACACTCTCAGGGCGATTGGCCATTGTCGGAAAACCAGCTTGCCTTGGAGAAGATGCATTCGCACCCGACGCTTCCAGTTCCTTAATGCGCTTATCTTTGTTCTCATTACCCATCCTTAGCTTATGGACCTCCGCTTCCAGTTGCCGTAGGCGTTCCTCAATAGATTCAGTATAGCTAGTGTGCCATGATAATCACCATTTAGCCATAGATCTCATTCCCTATTAGAATTGACATTATGCACTGTCCGCCCTTACATACCTTCTGGGGTAAGACTTGCGGTTAAGTTTGACCGTGGTAAGACACTCGAGGCCTGCCGTTTTACATCTCCCACACTATATTGTACCAGCAAGCCATAAGCTAATGCACAAAAGAGCGTCATTGGATAAAACGAATGAAAAGGCTGATTAGACATACAGTTGGAACCGCGCCATCGCATCGAACCTAAGCAAGACAATGAGCGAGCATTTCGCGTGTCAGCGATCGCGTCTCCAAAGAATTCCATCCCACCAAGCATGCTATATTACATAAATTCAACCTCATACAAACAAACACCAGCCCAAACCACAAAATCTAACCTTCTTAAACCGACACCTATCACAAGCCTGAATAGCCCTTCCCGTAGAAATCAACGCAGGCAGGTCCGAAGACTGTTGTCGACCCAAAGTGAGATTATGATCGCGCTCATCATCTTCGCCATTGGCATTGGCATTGACATTGGTACTGATATTAGCATTGGTATGAGGCGTTTCATCCGCCATGTTGTCCGTATCTTTGTGTAGCAACAACAGCGTTGATATTATATATAGTTATAGAAGTCTTCTTCTTCGAGCGACAGGATCGAGAACATCGCAATATGCGCAGACAGGTTGTGGAGGCTAATGGCAAGTGGTGGTAACGGCCGCATCTTTGCGAACTATTTAATTGGGATGGTGGTCGTCCCGCGCCACTGTGATTATCCACATTGTTTCGTCGTTGTCGTCAAGGTTATATATACTCTTCCGAGCCTAGAAGTTTGGCTTGGTTCAACGCTGCGGGACGAAGTTAACTTTAATCTCGCCAAACGCTGCATTAGGTTTAGTCTGCAGCCCTTGTGGGGGGAGCCGCGGATCACCTGATGGTGGCTTTTGTTGGAGCTACTACCTACTGTTGGGCACTAGTTATCCACGGGGCGCGTTAGCGGCGTTATAACATGACCCCCCCAAATAACCAGGTTATCCCGGACGCCACCCCAGCCAAACCCCCCCTGGATAACTGAGTTATACGGGGGGGATCTGCTTGGCATGTTATCTTGGCAGTTATTGGAGCTCTGTACAAGATGATTGGCTGAAGAAAAATATTGTGGGTAAAAATTGATTGATGTAGATCTGACTAGCTAGCTAGCTACCTTTCCTCCATCTTTCTTCTATCTATATGACCTGCTTGGCTTCACCATATGGGCTGCTAGTCCTAGACACCAACGTAGAGGTGCAGATCATGTCTAGGTGTCATACACAGGCTCCGTATGACTGGAGTAAATAGAAATAATACATACCTGCCCCTCCAGAAGAGAAAGAGAAAGAGAAAGAGAAAGAGAAAAGAGATTGTACATACCAGAGAGAGAGAGCTAATCAAGGATTATAGGAGCAGCAGGTGTTGAACCAGCTGTGAGCAGCTGCTGTTCAGAGGGACCCCTCATCCGCCGTTGAGGGCCATCCTCCTCATCATCATCATCATCCACAATCTCTATCACCTCCACCCCTTCCCCATCTCGTACGGAGCAGCGAATGGCATGATCACGCCATTTGCAGTTGCCACATGCTCCACCAAAGTGGCCAGGCAGGCGACGGCATTCTGGGAATGGCTGAAGACCTGGATGAGCACTCCGGCAGGCAAGGCATGCATGTGGCTCCGTCCGGCCGCGAGATTGAATGAGAATGGCATTGATGTACGATGGCCGGTGGCTTCGAACCTGCAGCTCTGTCATGCTGCCTCATACAAAGGGTACATCTTGCCCTGGGAGAGCCAGGACTGCCCTGGATTGTGGACTGTGGGTGAAGGGACTCAGCTGTTGATCAGCCACGAAGAGGATGCGATGGGGGCCCTGGGGGCCAGAGAGACCGAGGAGGGAGAGAGCCCTATATCGTACGGAGAAGAGGGCAGTTAGTGTTGTGATATCTGATATCTAGTTGATGAAGCAATCTGTCAGAAGCTTTGTACATAC